CGGCACGGGATGGGCGGCTCCCTCCTCTTGTAGCCTCCTCCGCTGGAAGCCGGTGTTCTTCTCGCGACAGCGCCCTAGGATGGTGTCGACCACTGGGAGGAGTTGGAGCTTGATACAGCCATGGAGTAGTCAGGGTTCAAAGTGTTGCATATTCTGAGTGAAGAGGTTGGTCCAGGCCTTTTGTCTACGCTTTTGCCTCCCTCCAAGGCTCCAAAACGTCCTTCAAAACCCTCAGACTACCGCCAAGATGAAATGTTGTGTCACCGCCGATTCAGGGTACTATCCGCCTGTAGAAGAAGGCCTGTTTTGGATCCTCTGTGCTTACATAGAGGTGTACACGTGGACCACAATCAAGACCAACTAATTCAATTAACAGTTCAACCAAAGTAATAGTTCAATGATTATACAGTACTAATACATACTAATCCAGAGGTTTCATCAGTACATATAAACTTCATTAACATAAAAGTTTCACAAATTCTAAGACTTAATGTCGGATGGAAAGGCAGTTGCTAAGGTACTCAATTGGTTCATGCGGTCCCGAAAGCCAGAGGTAGTGAACCATAGTGAAGATGATAGCATCTCCGTCTATGGACATATTGTATCTATAAAGTATGTCTACTTCCTGTCTAGTCCTGTAAAGCACAAAAATCTCTCCACAAACAAGGTCTTGAACGATTATTGTCAAATTTTGTGGTTCGAGGAGGTGACGAACAGCGGCTTCAACAATCAACAGTCGGTCCAGGTGAATGCTCCATCACCAAGTAGCAAACAACATCATCTAGGGTCCTGGTGCCACCCCTAGCCGCCAAAAGGCAAGGTTGCTCGCATTGTAATGGCTTCTTCCGAAGTAAGACATCTGTTGCAATGAAGAAATTCCTAATATGAACAAAACTGATACCGAACCCAAAACCAATTGGAACCAAATGCAAACAGCGGGGGGTGACCGAATCCATCTAACCTTCACGGGGCATTGTCCACGACGACAATGCAAGGTGCTCGAGGCAGGGCAAGCAAAGGCGGGTGGGGAGAATGAAGATGCAGCAACCGGTAGGGAGAATGAAGATGAAGCAACTAGTGGAGAGAATGAAGATGAAGCAATGGGTGAGGAGAACTAATGGCTTCGTATTGGGTTTTTTAGTGGTTCCAACAGCCGCCAATGCGCCGACAGGGCCGAGAGGAGTTGGGGAACGAACCAGGCAATTCTATGTTTCTTTTCCAAACAGACGGTCTAGATTGATCGGTAGCGAGAACGGACGGCACGAGATAAGGCAAACAGTATACCTATTAAGCCGACTATTGCCACGCTAATCCAACGCTATAATACGGTGATTGTCAGCAGTTGAACTGCTATTAGATTCTCCTAGAACCAGAACCGTACATGACAGTTTTTACTTTTCATTCATATATATACAGAAAAAGAAAAAAACATTCGTCGCGTAGCAATATCTCCTAGAATATGGCAAGGATCAAAGATAGATAGCAAGAACAACAGTAGGAAACATAATATTTCAAAGAACTTTTTTTCATTGATTCATTGAATATATAGATAAATACAATTTGGATGAGTATACGATTGTACTCGTCCAAAAACATAATAACTAACCTAAACTATTAAAACTACTTATACTAACTATAAACTACTTAATCTAAATATGATCCTCATGCAGAGAGGATCATGATCGCCACACTCGCTTGGGAGGAGACGAGTTGAAGTCGGAGTTGGAGTCGGAGTCGGAGTCATCATCGTCGTCGTCATCCTCCTCGTCCTCGTCCTCGTCCTCCTCCTCCGGGTCCTCCTTCTCGAAGCTCCATGGAGAACTATAATCAGAAGGCATCCAAACGTCGGAGGAGACGTCCTCCTCAGAGGACTGGTGGGCTCGCAAGTTGTCCTCGCTGGACGACGGGCTGCTTGGAAACTTGATGGGGCTGTCCGACATTTTCTTTGTAGATTGGAAGAGAAGGGGATGATGGATGAAGAAGAGGGGTGATTTCAGAGGGCACCAGGCTTGAAGAATACGTAGAGCAGTGGGTATGGCTCTTTGGCTTCAAGCGGCTGAAGTAATGGTGATTTGACGGCTCACGCTGAATTTTTACCGCCAGTTGACCAAACGCTAGTTTGGGACCACCGGCCAAAACGCGTATCCAAGTCGGCCCAGCTTTTCATGCGACGGAGAAAATGCAACCCCAATACCATTACCACATCTAACGTTAATCCGTCAGTGGTAGCAGTTTCAACTGCCGGTTTCCATCCATAGGAGGCCTCTCTATCGGTCCAACCGACAGTGGAAGTATCACACCGATGCTTTTATCGCTACGGCAGTGAAAGTGGAGATAGCGATGAGTCAATCTGTAGTAGTGAATATAATATCCCAAACTATTATGGTTTCATATGCACATGAAAAGTTAGAGTATATTTGTCAAGTTGTTTTGCTTCCCAATCTCATCTCGGGCATTTGTCTTATATTAGGCCCCCGTTTGGGTCCTTGAATTGAATTCATTTTAATAATCATAATTTAGACATGTATTAATTAAGCTAATATGATTGTATATGGATTATATTTGTATGTTATTGTTGGCTATACGAGAAAGATATTTATATGTTACATTTCTACCGTAGGGAAGTGAGTTGAAAAGCGTGTTATAAGTTGCAAAATAGAAACATAGAATGGTGATCTATAAAATCAATTTCCATTTCCCACCTTATGAATTTAAGATAGGCTTATATATAAACTTTAAAAAGTAGTGGAATGTCAAATTCCAAACCAAATAGCTTAATTTATTAAGTAGATTTTAATTCCTAAAGAATCCAACCGGCCCCTAGTTATTTGAAACAATGTTCAATTGGGAAGCTAAAAGGCCTAAAATTGAACTTCCGATGGATAGGACCTACAGTTGAACTTTGGATGGATAGGAATTCACGTACGCACCACCCTTTATCTTAAACTATAGATCGTTTGGCTTTTCTACATACATAGCTATTATTATGCATCTAGATATTATATAATAAAAGTTGTGTACGTAGAAAAGACAAAACGAATTATAAATTAGAACCGAGGGAGTAATACATAATTTAACATGGATCGTAATTTCGACAGAGAACAGCCATCAGGGCTGCAGATGCATAGATGTAGCAGCTGGCTGAAAATAGATACTGAGGCCCATCTTGTCCTATATTTATATTGGGCCTTAATCCAGAGCTACCTAATCACGACATGGGCTTAATTAAATGTTGCGTGACCAACCGGTGGGGGTTTTTTTTTCCTTTTTGAAAGATCACCGGTGGACAGATGGTTAAGCCTCGTTTGGCCGGGCTTTATTGTGCTCCGGAGCTCCAGATGTACTAGAGCATTGTTGATGAATAAATACTGTAGTACTAAAAGGACCCTGCCTCTCATATAGGTCAAAAACGAACTACGTAGGAGAAAAATCGAAGTACCTAGTGTTGGCCGGACAGCACATTCGAACATTTTTGTAATAATACAGGAGCGCTACATTAGTGCTACTGCTACTACAACGTAAGAGCCTCTCCTAGCAGCTGCATCAAAGTGGCCCATGGTTTGCCACCCTAAGGGGGCTTTAATTAATCTTATACAGTAGAATATACTCCCTCCATCTCAAAAAAAATATCATTCTAGAATAGTGCTAAGCTCAACTATTTGAAGTTTGACTAAATTTATATAAAAAGATGCTGAAATTTATTATACTAAATACTCCTCTGTCAAAAAATAAATGCACATCTCGTTTCTTGAGGATTCGAATATTTTTAAATTTGACCAATTATATAAAAAATAATATCATTTTTTCTATCTTCAAATAAGTTTATTGTGAAAGTACATTATACTTTTAATCTAATCATACTTACTGCACATAATAAATAAGAGTACTTTTAAAAAAAATTGTCAAATTTAAAATTGTTTGACTTTTTGAGAAGCAAAATATGCAGTTATCTTGGGACGGATAGACTAATAATATCATTAGATTAATCATTAAATATATTTTTACTATATATCTGCTATTTATAGCCATACATACTGATAATATCTTTAATAAACTCAGTCAAACTAAAGATATTTTGACTTTGACCGGAGCTGGAATTATATCTCTAGGTGGAGATAGTACCGTGAATCTGTGATGTGCCAGCCAGGCAGCAGGAGGCATGCACGGAAGAAGATATCACATGAGCTGGTTCTTATCAATATCTATATCTCGTACATATAGATAATACATAGGATAGAAGGATATCTTCATACTTATATTTATTTTATTATATTTATCAAGGCGCGTAGGTGCTGCAGTGGCACTAATACCTTGTGTGTGTGTGTGTGTTTTGATAGGGTGCCTTGTGTTAGCTAGCTGTGCCCCAATAATGGGCCCAATGTCAATATACCGCGGCCGGGCTGCGGCCGCAAACAGCTGATCGATGACATGCATCGCGTGTACGCGTGTGCACGTGTACACTATCGGCCATATACGCACCGCACTGTACCGCACATCCAGTATTTCTACGGCTGGAGTACATACACATACATGACGCGCGCACAGCCAAAAAAAAACCACCGTCGCAATCGCAAAACAAAGCACTAAGCGGCGACGGTGCAGATCGATACGTTACAGATGGAAGCAGCGTCGTCGTAGCGCACTAGCTGGCCGGGAAGCAGATGCATACAGCATACTACTGTACATGTCAAAATTAATTAATCGTATATTTATTTTTTTATATACTACCGTATGTGTCTTCTGGTCTAGTAGCGTCCAGGATTTGTTTGTATATAAATACACAAGACAGACACCCCTTCTTCACTCCACAGTATACGTATACGTATACGTGTGCACCCTGCAATCGGATCCATGCCTATTGCCTACACACGCCGATTGTTCTTGGCTATTAATCGGCGAGCTAGCAAGGTGTAGCTAATAAGGCACAGCTAGCCATGAGGAGGCTCGGGTTGTTGGGTGCTGCGGCAGCAGCCGCATCAGGGTCTCGGTCTCCGGCGACGATGCCGCCGTCGTCCGTCATGCGCGCGGCCTGGCAGGCGGTGCGGTGGTCCGTGGTGGTGCCGACGCTGCAGCTGGCCGTGTATGTCTGCGCCGCCATGTCGCTGATGCTCTTCCTCGAGCGCCTCTACATGGCGGCCGTGATCACCGGGCTCTGGCTGCGCCGCCGCCGCCGCAAGCAGCGCTCCCGCCGCCGCCGCCTCGCCGACGAGCAGCAGCGCATGATGCTGGACGACGACGACGACCTGGAGGCCGGTGACGACGACCACTGCTGCCCCATGGTCCTGGTCCAGATCCCCATGTTCAACGAGGGACAGGTGAGCGAGAACGCTTGATTATTATTGCTAGCATCCAATTCAGATTTCTGCTTCGAGCTTCCTTATTACTCCTACTAGCTGATTGGCATTGGCGCACAATAAATGCACACCAGTATGGTATGACATTGCAGTACTAGTACAAGTAGTATTTGTTTGTTTGTACCGGCGCAAGAAAAGAAAGCGTGCGTGAAGCCGGCACGCCAAACAACTGAAAGGGGTCGGAGCGTCCATCATTCTATGTGTAGCATGCATGATCGATCACCCCAAGCACGCTGCATCGTACTATATGTGTGCGTTCCTCGTGTGCAGTTAGTAGTTGCTGCGTGATATTCTCTTTAAAATGTTTCTCATTGATGTAGAAGCTAGAAACTAAAGCTACTTATTTTTTCTTTACTTGGGACGCGTTTCTTCTTTTTTTTCCCCGTCACAAGCCACAGAAATGAAGAAGAAATAGGTAGATATGGTTCTGTTTGTTTTCATGATGAATATCAATTACTTGTTTGGAGCATTCGTTTTGCATATACGGCAGCAGTACGAGTGAAAGCACGTTACCATATATATATATATATATATATATATATATATATATATTAAGGCTATTCTGCAGCTGATCATAAAATAACTTATTCTACGGCCACCTTGATTTACGATAATGTTTGTACCAATTTACGATAATAACAATACACATTTACGATACATGTGTTACTATAATTCAAAATGATACTTACCATAATGCTATAATAAATCACTTACGAAGGAGTTACCATAATCTCGTAAATTAGTATAGTAAATATCGTAACTCTAAGTGGCCACACAATAACTTATTCTGCGGCCAGCTATAGAACAGTACGTATATATATATATATATATATATATATATAATATATATCATCCCTGCATTGAGAGGTCAACTCTCACGATTTGTTGCTAGCGATCCTGTCCGTGACCGTGACGCAGATAATTAACGTCGAGAGAAAATTGGTCATAGCCGTGGATTGAAAATCCGATGGGGCAAAATTGAAATAATGCTAATGGCCATTTGACCAATGGGGCAATAAAAAAACACGCGCATGCATGCAGGTGTACCGGCTGTCCATCGGAGCGGCGTGCGGGATGTCATGGCCATCGGACAGGCTGGTGATTCAAGTGCTGGATGACTCGACGAACCCGGCCATCAGGGAGCTGGTGGAGGTGGAGTGCGCGCGGTGGGCGGGCAAGGGCGTGCGCATCCGCTACGAGAACCGCAGCAACCGCAACGGGTACAAGGCCGGCGCCATGCGCGAGGGCCTCAAGAAGCACTACGCCAGGGAGTGCGAGTTCGTGGCCATCTTCGACGCCGACTTCCAGCCGGACTCCGACTTCCTCCGCCGCACGGTGCCGCTGCTGCGGCGGGACCCCGGGGTGGCGCTGGTGCAGGCCCGCTGGCGCTACGTCAACGCCGACGACTGCATCCTCACGCGGATCCAGGAGATGTCCCTCAACTACCACTTCGCCGTGGAGCAGGAGGTGGGCTCCGCCTGCCACGCCTTCTTCGGCTTCAACGGCACGGCGGGGGTGTGGCGCGCCGCCGCGCTGGCGGACGCGGGGGGATGGAAGGAGCGCACCACCGTGGAGGACATGGACCTGGCCGTGCGCGCCAGCCTGCGAGGCTGGCGCTTCGTCTACGTGGGAGACCTCGTCGTGCGCAACGAGCTGCCCAGCACCTTCAAGGCGTACCGCTACCAGCAGCACCGGTGGTCGTGCGGCCCTGCCAACCTGTTCCGCAAGGTGCTCCCGGAGATCCTCCGCAGCGACCAGGTGTCGCTGGGGAAGAAGCTGCACCTCCTCTACGCCTTCTTCTTCGTCAGGAAGGTGGTGGCGCACCTCGTCACCTTCCTCTTCTACTGCGTCGTCATCCCGGCCTGCGTGCTGGTGCAGGGCGACGTGCGCCTGCCCAAGTACGTGGCCATGTACGTGCCGGCGCTCATCACGCTGCTCAACGCCGCCTGCACGCCCAGGTCCTGCCACCTCCTCATCTTCTGGATCCTCTTCGAGAACGTCATGTCCATGCACCGATCCAAGGCCGCCGTCATCGGCCTGCTGGAGGCCAGCCGCGCCAACGAGTGGGTGGTCACCGACAAGCTCGGTAGCGGCAAGGCTGCTCCGGTAGTCGCGAGGAAGAAGAAACAGCAGGTGCTCCGGAGCAGGTGCTGCAGCACCAGACGGGAGATGCATGTGCTGGAGCTCGCCATGGGAGCGTGCTTGCTCTATTGCGCCGTCTACGACATTGTCTTCTTCGGCCACGACCACTACTACCTGTACCTGCTCCTGCAATCGGCGGCGGCCTTTATCGTTGGCTTCGGCTACGTTGGCGCCACGGCACCCTCCTGATGAGTCTCATGAGTCATGATGAGTCCTGACCAACCCACCAACAGCGCGCCGACGACTGTCAGTGCCTGTGATCCAAAGTCCCTAACATTGGTTAAATTATTTGTAGCCTTGTATCGATCGCGTGGGGAATAGTCATGATAAATCAGATTTTTTTTATAGTGCTACATTATAAAGGAAAAAACAGATTCAACCAAAACAAAACAAAAAAAGGCTTCATAGCCAAGCTGGACCTCAGTCACTGTAGGTTGTACGTTAATGTGTCATGTATACTTCCAGTCAAATGAACATACTACCTGGCTCATGCATTCTGAATGAATATGATTGGTTGTTACAGGCTTATATAACAGCAGCAACAATTTACTCGCAGAAGATACTGTTACAGCAGGTTTAACTCCAGGGCTAGCTAACTCCGGTTTGATTTTATCCATCTCACTCACCAGCAGCATGAGCCGAGGCTAGCATAACACCTAACATTTTTACAACGTCTGTTGATAACTCTTAGCGCTACTGAAACTAGCTAAACAAATAACGATACAACACAGAGAGCATAGGTTCATACCATGAGTTGTATCTTTTCCATGTATCTACACGACTTCTAAGACAAATGACAAAGAGAGAAGGAAAAGAAAACCCATGATTTTTTGAAGTGATCCTTATAATCAGCAAAACAATCACTCTAGTTCACCTGCCTTTACCTCGAATTCTTCCCTGGTTGATAGTATCTTTACACGAACCATGCCTCGCTCCCACTCCGAATTTCCAACCAATATCAGCCTGCTAGCATTGATCCTCTCTGCGTGTTTAAATACCCTGGTAGTACCAAAACGGATATTTCAGACACAGCAATAAATAAAGAAGGGAAAATATGGTAGGTATACCATTTGAGACGCTTGTCTTCTACAAGGCCAACAGAACGCCCTTTCTTTCTCAGAGAGGAAGCAATACTGGATGCCGGTCCTTCAAGTTCTTCGTCCAAAGGGAAGACAATGTCATCAACTTGACGCGACAGATCAGGCAAAAGACCCTTTTCTTTGAGCAGCTGTTAGAACACAAATTACAATTAAATAAATGCCACTCCCTTGAAGCAGTACCTCAAACTCAAAATGATGTATAAACTGCACTAATACTTTTCAAGAAATTCATGTTATCTTTTTTTCCACCACGGACGAACCGAATTCCATTACTCAAAAGCAACAAAACTACAACAGTCTGTAAATTCAAAAGAAAAATGCACCGAACCTAAGGAAAGGCCTAACTGGAATGAACACAAAGGGTTCACCTAGCCCGCACAAAACAACCAACGTAACCGACAAGCGTTTTAACTAGATCACAAACGTCACCAGCCAAACAAAGCGTCCAACCACACGCGAAAACTACTTTTAATGCATGCCCGGTTCTGGCACCAACAGCACGCAAGCTGTGACCAAGCTCCAGAGACACCTTTCCTTCTTCACAGCAGACTCCCAACTCAGACTTTTATTAAGAAAAACTACTGCTAATTCATGTTGTCAAGTACTAGACTTTTATTTCCAGACTCCACATTGCATGAATTAGCACACACATAGCACTTGTGATGGTTAGTGTCTTGAATTGGTTATTGTTTAGGCTCATATTAACAGATGTTGCCCTTATATCTGCATTAAACATCTATCTAAACCTGAACTTAATATTACACCAACCAGATTGCTTATAATTCTAAAAAGAAAAGAACCAGAGTCCAGAGATAAGACAGAACATGCCATACTTCCACTATAACAGCATCTCCAAATCCAAAGCCACAAGCTGGTATATCTTCACTTCCAAACGTTGAAAGCAATCTATCATACCTTCCACCACCGCAAATTGCCCTTAGTTTTCCTTCTCTATCAAATGCCTACAAAAGTGGTATAAGAGTTTCAAAACAGGAGTTCATGGCATGAAAAAGGTAGTGTACAATACATTTATTTGAAAAAGGAAGAAAACGGAAAAAAAAAGGAATGTCAGGTCAACAAGGAAATATACTATCTAATCAAGCAAAAATATTAAATGGTAGATCAAATTATGACCTGCCACATTCTACATGGACTATAGTAGCTTAAGCGTTGACAATGATCCTAAGAACAGAAATCACAACATTTGACTTTAGAAAATGCTGCAGAAATACTTTTTCTTTAATATGCAGGGAGCTACATATCATTATATTCAGAAGAAAAAAAGGGTAGGAACCCTTACAAGTTACAAAGCCACACATACCCAAACCATGCAAATGCTACATAAATATTTTTTGTAAATAAAATAGAGATTATTATCTGAAAACGAATATATCTTTTCTGAATAAGCTTTCATGTGCAGTTTGATGACATGGCCCCTTCTCTGCTTGTTACTTTGTTAGTGGTCCTGCTGTTGACATAAGAAAGAGATAAGCTGAAAACAACCTCAAATACAATTCCTGTGTAGTATGCAAGGCCACGGACCACTGATGCATCAAAACAAATCCAATCAGCATAACCATATTGCTCCGCAAAAGAGAAGAGTTTCTTCAAGTCAGCAACAGCTTCAACACCAGAGCCTAACACCTCTGCATAAGCATATCAAGATTAAACAAGAACCTTTGTCAAATGTCCTGAAGATTAAAAAGCCAACATTTATATGGATAAGGAAAGCCAAGATTGTCAGCTTAACAACAACTAAAGCACAAAATCCCGATGTAAGAGAGAATATATATTTTCCAATTTAGCAACATTATCTCAATATAATATTCAAGTAAAGGTATATCATATGGAGCATGCATAATAACAAGCCAACAACAACAGATTAGGAGAAAACCTTCAAGCTTGGACAGTGACTTGAGTGAAAGCACATCGATGATACCCTGAACAGCTTCAGATGACAGCCCAGTTGAAATAAGTTCCTTCTCAATTTCTTCCCTAGACATTTTACCCAACTGCATAATGCTTATGTTAGAATGAAAAACAGTCATTACACCAACAAAAGTATAGCAATAAACAATTCATTACACCAACAAAAGTATAGCAATAAACAATTACATCAATGCATGGGTATCCAGCTAATTGTTACAAATAGTTAATATATGAAAAACAAAACAGTGATAATCTGTTCCAGAGACTGGACTTCTATGGCAATTGGTTACTGGTTAATTCCAAATTCATAATAGAGGTAGAATGGTCCATGTCACCATATAATGGAGCAACATGTGCTCTTCGTAGCAAGTGACAAACTCTTAGGCCTTCTCTAGTGGTGGGTTCAATTACTGGCAAAAAGGCATGCCAAAGAGGAGGGGTATGGTTTTTACTCTTCCTTCTCCATAGGTGTGTTAATTTCTGCCTCTCCTCACAGAAATGATTGTTTAATTAATGAGTAAGAAACGATTCCTATTTTAGGTTCGGTTCCCCCATGACAGCAGGCTCCAGGTGGCCTCCAGTGATGAAGAATCAATTCAGCTCATACATCATCGCAGGGTTCAGCCACTGGAGAAGGCCTTAAAAGGCAACCAGTTTTGAAGGGTTATCTCTGGACTCTAGTAAGAGTTGAGGTGGTTTAAGATTTGTTCCATTACCAAAAAGGTTAGACCTCTAGTATATATAAGAAAAATATAACAAGCTGAAGAAGATAAAAAAAATCATCATATTTCTATTTGTACTTCAATGTTATAAATTACGACAACTTGTCAGCTCCCAAAGCTACAAATAGAGTATAATTGGAAAGCAGATAACATGTTACCGCAACCCAGAGCTACACAGTAAAACTGGCAAGAAGATAATATGGTACAGCAATCAGCAATGAGCAGGTGGTAAGTCAGTAGCAGAATTTGGGCATACTTTATCGACAATAACACAAACTTCAGTGAATAAATGTTCTGGGATGGAGTACATGTTCAACACAGCCTGAAGAACCTGCAAAAAGCAAATGAGAGCCAGCAAGAAATCAGAGAAAACACATGCACTAACATATATCAAGAGGTTATAACATATTCAGGTGTCAGCAGCTACATCATTTTTAGGTAATCCAGTTCCCACAGTTCTCATCTCCTTATGATATAGGTAAGGAATAAAAAAGGACATCCACTACCATGAAGCGACAGGGTTATGTACAAGGCAACATATCATGTACAAACCAACCAACCTGTGCAAACTTGAAAACTACCAATCAGGACCACTGGATGCTGATCCAATGGATGGGGTTAGGGGGCTTAAGCGCAAAAAAAAGGATGGCGGGTGGGGGGCTTAAGCGCAAAAAAGTCCCACCTCTCGCCCTATTCATTGGATCAGCCATCTAGTGGTCCTCATTGGTAGTTTTCAAGTTTGCACAGATCAGTTGGTTTACACCTGATACGTTGCCTATGTACAATACCAATTTGGTCATAGTAGTTTAAGAGTCTGAGATTAATAGCGTACTAACAAAGCTTAACAATTTACTTTTGGAAGTCATACGGCCAAATCAAAAGGCACAAAATACATGAAAGGGAAGTATTAAGGAAAATGTGAAACTGAAGAGGGATACTTGAGTGAGTGTGAATACCTTCCGACTGGACACCCTGATCCCCACATATGAAGATGTAACTCCAAGACGTTGAAATAAGAGAACAATAGCATGAAGAAGCTCAGCCTCAGCCTGATTCGAAGAATGAGATGGCAATGCTGAATCAGTTCAAAAGCATACGAGCACAGCAGCATCCGGAATCAATAAAGGAGAAGGGTGGTACCCGAACTTTAGGCACACCAAATATATCCATATTCCATTGGTAATGTTCCCGTCTTCTTCCTCTGGTCATGCGCTCATATCGCCAGCACTGTCCTATAGTAAACCATTTTAGTGGAAGGGAGACTGATTTTCTAGACAGAAGAAGAGTAGGTGAACATCACATTCTGACGGAAAGAAGAGGCACGTATAGATAGGTGAGAAATAGATTAGCAAAGGCATACATACGGGCTTTATGACTAGGCGCGCGAGGGAAGGGGTGATTTCCGGCCTGAGAACAACACGGCGACCTCCTTTATCCTCAAAGTTGTAGAGCTGCGGTGCAGAATCAAAAGCAAAGTTATAAAAGACTTCAATTCAGAAAAAACAGAATGGGCTTATCTGCTGAATAAAGATGAAGATGACAAGACAAAAGAGAGGGGAGGAGTGCGGGAGGGGGAGATGACCTGCTGCGTAATCTATTCCCCTGCCTTTCGAATGAAGAGCGCCTCCGACTCAAGGACGGGGAAGTCCACCTCCTCGAAGGCCATGATGTGGGAGACCTCCCTGAAGTGGTCGAAGAGCCAGGTGCGGAGACGCATGTCCTCCGGCGGAAAGTCCCTAGTTCCGCGCGGAGGGTTGACGTCGACGACGCCATCAGCATCACCGTGCGTCGAGGCGGCGTCGCCGTAGGTCAGTGTTGAGGAGGATGCAGAGGAGAAGAGACGGCGGCGGCCATGGATGTGGCGGCGCGAGAAGGAGCCAGCAAGGCAGGTGGGGCTGAGGAGCAAGCGCGGGCGGAGAAGGAGGAGGTGGCGAAGCGACGGCGACGACGACAACGCCGCCATCGATTCGACTCCACTGGCAGATTGGAGCAGCAGCAAGGGACAGGTGGGAGAAGGCCGCGGATGGTGCAGCGGAGATAATGCGATGCGATTCACGTTTGGGCCGGACCTCACCAGGCTGAGGCCCATTAACGATGCAATTTGCTGGGCTTCCTTATATTTTTTCCGTGCCTCCATCCTCTTCTGTCTTCTCCGTCGGCGGGGAGAAGTGAAATGTCGTGGAGATGGGCGGCGGCGGCGAGAAAGCTCACCGGAATCACCCAGTTGCGCACTCCAGGAGCCTGTACCGGCGGTCTTATCTATCGGTAGGAATTCATCTACAAATCTTTCCTTCCAAATTCCTAGCCCGAACTGACCCCGAGATCTCTCGTCTTCTTCTCTGTGTCATGCCAAACTTTGGCTTCAGCTCGTTCAGAAGCGACTCCATCGGAAGCCGCAAGAGCTCACTACCACGGAGGGTCCTGTAGATCGGGGCCATCAGCCTTGCCTGGGGGGCTCGTGCTCAGCGCCGTCAATGACCTCGCCATCTTCAATGGATGCACAACGTCAGCTTTCTTTCTCCTCCTTTCTTTCGGCTTCGTCTCTCCAAACAAAATTAATCCAGCCCAATCTACTATTGTGTTCCTAATATTTAGCTCCTCAGTGAGAATTGAATTGCATGCAAGCAAGTCCTAGAACTCGGTAGTTTGGTCTTCAGTCAGGAGCAAAGAGATGTGATTTCTTTCCACATCAATGGGATGTATAGGATGGAATAGGCATGGCACAGTGGGCAATTTCCCAAACCCAAACATCTTGTCTTTTTTAGAGTGTCAGGGGAGGTCCAAACCTCTTGCCTGAGTACCATGGTGAGATCTGAACATCTTGGCTCTGTTTATGAATCAGTATCATGTGAATTGTAGGAGTCCACTTCGGGAACAATCAACTGCTCACCACTGGGTATCAATGTTAATGTGTTTTCAATATGTCAGCACAACACACACTACAAATTTTGACTTTATCTGGGACAACCATTATGCACTCCTACTATCTGGTTGCACAGTAATTTGTTGGTTTAGTGAATGATGTTTTTTTTGAAAGTCCAATGGTGTTTTATTAAAGCAAAGTGAATGGTGCTTTTTTTCTTTAATGAAAACAAGAACAGCTGGGTTAAGTCCTCATACACGTGTGATGTGTGTGGTTTATTTGGTCTCCATTGCTTTAGCCGTAGAGAATAAATAATGTCCTCTAGCACTCATTCAATATTCTACTAAATTCTAGACATCTTAGTTTATTTTCCTTTTATCTTAATTTTGTATATGGGCATCCTTTTTTTTGGTTAATCAGCCATGAAGCTTATGTTACCTTAATAATGTTCTTCTAGATGCATATGAATTTCATTTCCATATATTCTATCTTTGTCCCTTACATTGGTTGACATTTACATGGATGTATCATTGCTTTTTTTCTGTTTGCTTTTAACATAAAAAATTACAAGTTTGAATGTTTTCAGTAAGGCAATCGAGTATGCTGCTGACAACCCTGCGGTTGTGGAAGCAATTGGAGCGCCATTAGTCAGAGGACCGTGGTATGAGGCTTCTCTAGAGGTGGGCCATCGACGGAGATCTGTGGCATGCACGTTCCCTGTATCTGGGCCACATGGGTCAGGATTTCTCCAGATTAAGGCAACCCGAAATGGAGGTTTGATTACAATTTTCTCCTTTGTTGTGCTCCGATTAGTCACATATACTTGATACAAAACGATGATGGAATCTTTTGTGTTGTGTAGAGGATGGTCTGCTTTCGTTTCTACGGCATCACAACTGGGAGATCCTTATGCTAGAGGCTCATCTTCATGTACCTTCAGATGATGAGGAGCAGAAAAAGCTGGTAAAGGTGAATCTTGCTAGCGATGGCCGTGGAGAAGATGGGGATCCAGAGAGCAAGTGTTAAGCTGCCTGATTGTGTCATCTGAATGGATTCCAAATATTAATAGGCTGTTTGATTTTTGAGGAATAAGTTAGTCCATCTTCTCACTCCTCACTTTTTTGTTTTGTTTGTAGAATGAAATGGATTGATGCATGCTCGCCTCATTTCACAGGCTAACAATTAACACTAATGTGAAGATTGGAGTCATTCTACCAAATTTGAGGAATAGAATTGTGATGAATCATCTCATCTAGAATGTTCCCTAGAGATCAAGAGAAGCAGTTGTTTTTGTTCCAAAATTAGCTGAAGCAGCAGCAGCAGCAACCTGCAAGCATGCAATCCTGCACGCGACAATATGCTATTTTTGGCCTGCCATCGGTTACATTGGTCCAGTTTTGGTGGCCTGGCGGGGTCTGTCTGCTCGCAACATGACAACCGGATCATTCACATTCTAGGCGGCCTGTTATTATTGATTTGTTTGTTGCTGCTGCTGCTGCTTGTCCCGTGGCCAACCTCCATCCAATTGGACGATATTGGCTTCCTGCGATCCCCTCCCTCGCCGGCCGGCGGACCGCACGGCTTGCCGCTGCATTGCCATCGTGTCACTTGTACACAATCCAATCGGATTGGATTTGGGTGAATGCTTGGGCAAATTCGACTATGATTCGAATTTGCTCACGCATTCGTTTTGATTGCCGCTAGCTCGCTGATCGCTTAATCAATCGACGCGGACAAGTCGGGCAATCATTGGACGGCGACGGCGATGGGCATCTTGTGTTGCTTCCAGTCCCATACCGACGGGAGCGCCCACCATGATCACGTTGTTGCTTCGTCCCCGGCTACCTCTTCGTCCTCTGCCCCCTCGTCATACCGAAACAATGATCGTCGTGCTCCCCCCGAGCGGCAGGCCGCCGGCGAGGAGAAGAGCAGCAGGAGGACCGACAGCGTCGACAACAGCAACCTGGTCGCCCTCGTCAACGACATCGTCGCCGAGTCAGGTACCATACCCACCGTTATCGTGATCAATCGATCGATGATCATCCAATCCAATATATCCATCCATTCAAATGACGGCAATGGTACCATGCATGTGCCATATGCAGTGAGCTACCGTCACAGGCGGGTGGCCGAGGAGATCCTCAAGATGGGCAAGGCGGGCAAGGTGACGGCGCGCGCCTTCACGTACGCCGAGCTGTCCGAGGCCACGGGCGGGTTCCGGCCGGAGTCGCTGCTGGGAGAGGGCGGCTTCGGCCCCGTGTACAGGGGCCGCCTGGGGTCGCCGTCGGGCCCGGAGGTGGCCGTCAAGCAGCTGGACCGCAACGGCATGCAGGGCACGCGCGAGTTCCTGGTGGAGGCGCTCATGCTCAGCCTGCTCAAGCACCCCAACCTGGTGACGCTGCTGGGCTTCTGCACCGACGCCGACCACCGCATGCTCATCTACGAGTTCATGCCGCTGGGCTCCCTGGAGGACCACCTGCTGGACCTGCCCCCGGGGCGCGCGCCGCTCGACTGGGCCACGCGCATGAGCGTCGCGCAGGACGCCGCGCGAGGCCTCGAGTACCTGCACGACACCGCGCGGCCGCCCGTGATCTACCGTGACTTCAAGGCCTCCAACATCCTGCTCGACACCGGCTTCCGCGCCCGCCTCTCTGACTTCGGGCTCGCCAAGGTCGGCCCCGTCGGCGACAAGACACACGTGTCCACGCGCGTCATGGGCACCTACGGCTACTGCGCACCGGAGTACGCGCTCACGGGCAAGCTCACCACCATGTCCGACGTCTACAGCTTCGGCGTCGTCTTCCTCGAGATCATCACCGGCAGCCGCGCCATCGACACCACCAGGTCACCAGACAAGCACAACCTCGTCCTCTGGGCCGGCCCGCGCTTCAAGGACAAGCGACGCTTCGCCGAGATGGCTGACCCGCTGCTCCAGGGAGCCTACCCCACCAAGGGACTCTACCAGGCGCTAGCCATCGCAGCCATGTGCCTCCAGGAGGATGCTAGCATGCGCCCCGCCATCAGCGACGTCGTCACCGCGCTCGAGTACCTCACGGTCGCAGGAGGAGGAGCCGCTGACGACGACGAACCGGCTCCGAATCCCAATCTGCAGCAGCAGCAAACAGACATTGCCGGACACGACGACGACCAAGCGTAACATCATGTCTCAGGAAAATTGTCAAGCGCAACGTGCATTCATCATACATATAATGTGATGATGTTGCATGCATATGTCCCATCGATCGATGAAACGACGACTTTCATTACAAACCATAACGCGTATTAATTGTCACAGAGACAGTTGATGTATTTACAAATGAATTGACACTAGCTAGTGTATATTTCCTCTCATTCCAAGAAAATGTCGCCTTCTCAAGAGCACCTCTCGTTCGTTTCTTCCAGTGTGGACAACGGTAGGTGAATTTCTCTCTCGAACTTTTAACACTCTTCTCTTGTCAATGCGTCACATCCCAACTGCTATTGTATTTCTTTTTATTCTCAGTGTTTGAACCTTGTCTGAGGATCGAACCGTAAAATCTTTTGCCATGGTTGAGTTGCTCCAGCGTGAAATCGACTTCTACTTCCTTTTCTATCTCCTCACGGTTCCATTCAGCACTACAACAGAGCTGCCCCATCCGTCCGAATGAGAGCAACTGTCGATGTTTGACCACCGATAGCCTGCCACGGGGGTTCTCGGGGCAGTATTGTTCAGGCTTCAACGTATGCGGAACTCGACGGTGAACGCAAGAGACAGTCGATTTATCCTGGTTCAAGCCCTCGACTGTGGTCGAGTAATAGCCCTACGTCCAGCCGGCGTTAGTCCTTGCATTGTATTGATTGTGTTGTAAAAATCGTGATCTCTCGTCTCTAGGAACCCTGCCCTCCTTTATATAGTCAGGAGGTCAGAATCCTAGTCGGTTTATAATGAGAGTTCTTAGTAGGATTACAGGATAATACTACTACTAAGATTACATGGGGAGAATCCTAGTTAGACTAGATCTTCTCTCCTCCTTGCGGGGTATCATGTGGGTCCCGTACCGACAAGCCTCCGAACACTTCATGGTTGAGCTCTGGAAGCGTCGTCTTGTTCTTTCAGGCTTTGCCGAGCAGGAATAAGCGTCGTCCGAGTGCTTCCTTGAGCAAAACCGTGTAGCGCTCTGTGAGATCTTCGCGTGGAGTGTACCTTTTTGAAAGAAAAAAGTATTCCCCTTTGGGTGTAGCCCCCGAGCCTCTTGCTATTTGGAACAAGGAGCTGGAGGGTCTTGTCTTGAAATTGCTCTATCCTTCATTGAAATGTTCCCGAGCGTGTGCCCGGGTTCTTTATAAAAAGAACTCGGATATAGCTCAGTCCGGCTTCTTTTTGTCATGATTCCTTGAAGTAATTTTGTCCCGAAGAAGTCTTCTTGGTGACGTGCGCTTTTTTCGAAGAAAAAAGGGCACTCACTGAGTGTAGCCCCGAGCCTCTTGCTATTTGGAACAAAGAGTTGGAGGGTCTTGAGTCTGATTTGTTCGAGGAACTAAAATCTTCTCCTTTTATAGCCTCTGAGCATTTATCTGGGTTCTTTGATTCTAAAAGAACTCGGACGCATTGTTCTTGGTGTATTCTCTGGTAGTCTGTTGTTTGTCAGGTGTAGTTGTATGGTGGTGGTTGAGTGTAAATGTTGCATGTTCACGGGTTGTACAGTGTTGGTATATTCTTCCGAATATGCTCGTCTTCGAGTACTGTTCCTTCTGAGTCTTCCATTATTGAGTCCTGTCTTTTCACTATGTCTTTTGAAAGGCTTGTTTCGTCGGTACTCCTAGTCCATGTGCGCCGCTCCTTCGATCTATAAATACCCTCCCGGGGTGCTTGCTTTCATCCATTGAATATTTTGTTGAAAACTTCGTAGTAATGAATATGGTAGTTTATGAGGTAGAGCAGCCCCCAGGCGTATCTTATAGTTCTTATGTGTCTTGTCGTAGCTGGAGGAAGTCTTGTGATAGAGATTAGAGGTAGACTAATCCCGCAGCGGCATTGTACTTGAAAGTACGTGGTGGTAGTTGGAGGAAGTCTTGTGATGTGGTCTTCGTTCCTTCATCCGGCAGTTCTGGGTTGATCCTCGCCGTCTGTCTTGAGACTGTCCGGTGCAGATCAACACCTGATCCTACATCACGTCGGGCTTGGATAGACAGATGCCTGCCGACTTCCCCTGGTCTATGTTGTCCCGCCGTGCTGCTGATTTCCGCCTTGAATGCACTACGTCCGTCCTTTGAAGAAAACAGTGTAGCCGAGCACGGTTTGTTCTACCGAGTAGCAATTTGGAGCACGTAGTCGTTCTAGAGCCTAGTTGTGTCCGGGCTCCTTTTTGCTACCTTGCTTGTCGTAGTGCCGAATTCATTGGGTCTTGTAAGATGTGTAATCTTCTATTTTTGAAGCCATTTGTAATGGAAAGAATCTTATCTTCAGAGTTGTCATTCATTTTTTCAGCTGTAATCCTGGTTATTCATGAGACTCCCGAGTTCTTTCTTTAATAACCGGGTTCTTTTGTTCCTTGCGAGGTAGCCCTTTGTTTCTTCATGGTTGACGGGTTGTTCTTGTAGTGATATGATAACCCTGCCGTGGTGCTGGATGGATAAGTCTAAAATCTGCCCGTTAAACTGTACCGTTGTGTGGATTTGTGTCGTCCGTCATTTTAGTTGTGTTAGTAAATGGACCGTTGTGTTCCCACATCGTGTTTTAACGGGCCTGGTGGGCCATTTTTATCACTAAAAAATCTATTTAAAGACCTTTTATCTTCCTTTTCTTTACTGCCCAGCTCTTGCCTTGAAACCCTAGCTTTCAGAAATCCGCCGCCGCCATTGTCGCCGTCACCCGAGCGCCGCCATCCTAGCTTCGTCTTCCCCAGTGCCTTTTTGCTTCCGCTAGTTCATGGGTAAGAAGAAAACCGCGAGCAACTCCTAGGCAGCCTTCGTGGACGAGGAGTCAACCCTTTCTTTGATCGAGAACCAAGAGTTCGTGGCTATGAGGGCTGCTCAGAAGGTTTGGCCGGCTCCAACAACAACCGAAGACCAGCTCCGCGAGCTCGTCAGCGACGGCTTGATCCAAAGCAAAGACATTACTGAATGGAGAGTTCCGGGCGAGCACCGGGTTCCTGCTCCAGGTCCTGGTGAGATTGTCCTTTTCATTTCCTTTATCCATGCCGGTCTTTGCCTTCCTGCTTCCGCCTTCCTTCATCAATTTCTTGGTTATTTTGGGGTTAATCTGAACCATCTAACCCCTAATGTCATCCTCCATCTTTCTGTTTTCGTTCATCTCTGTGAAGCTTTCCTTAGAATTCCTCCTTCTCTTTCTCTTTTCCGCCACTTCTTTCATTTGAAGCCTCAACCCCGCCGTGAAGAAACCAATGTTCTTGGCGGCTGTGGGATCCAGTTTCGCCAGGGTCTTAAAAGCAAGTTCTTTGACTATGACCTGATTGATTCTGTGAGGGATTGGCGTGCTGATTGGTTTTATGCCGCCAATTTGATTCCTTCTCTTTCCATACATTCTGGGTCTGGCCCCTTGGTTAATGACCGGTGGGAAAAGAACTCCCTGACACCAATCGAGCTCCAGGTGATCCAGTCATTCCTTGAGCGGATACGCACTCTAAAGCAGCAGGGCTTGACCAGCTTCGGTATTGTCTCGAGCTTTCTTCGTCGCCGTGTTCAGCCTCTGAAGGAGGGAGAGAACCTTGGCTTCGAGTATTCTAGGGCTGAGGATCCTTCCCGCATGGTCCCGGCCCATGAGCTGACCGACGAGGAGGTACTTGAGCATCTCCAGAAGATGCTGAAAGGAGCAAGCGTTGTCCCGCTTACTGTCTCCGAGTACTCCGCCAACAACCCGCCTCCAGCTGTGAGTCATTTTTTCCTTCGTACGGGTATTTTCTGTATTTCTTTTGCTGTATCTATTTTTGCTTAATTTTCCTTGTCTTGTTGTTTTATTCTTTTCGTAGGAATTGGGGCGCAATTTTATTGACCCGATCCCCCTAGATGTCCTCCCTGCCGTGGTGAGTACTAGGGAGAAACTTGCTGGGTCTTCTGTAACCAGTAAGTTCCAAATCACCACAGTGTTTCCTAGAGTTTCCTCTGGATTTGTTAATGTATATGAAGAATATGTTCCTCGTCCAGTCCCTCGAGGTCCTCGTAGTGTCCCGAAGAGGGGGCGGGCGGATGATTCTTCATCTGGTTTACCTGCTTCCAAGAAGTCTCGCCAGCCGAGTACTCATCCAGGTACTCCAGTTATAGGTAGCGTGCTCCTAGGTGTGCGTATTAATATGTTCGGTCTTTCTATTATTTATTTGTGCCGCTGACCGAATTCTTTTTTTCTCTATTTTCAGATGGCGCTGTAGCTGTCTTGCTGGAGACTGAGGAGGATGAGGTCGATGATGTGCCCCTCATTACGCGCCGGTGAGTTGTTTACTTGTCTTTGTTTTGTTGAGCGCATTTTCTTGTTCTGACTTTCTCTTGGCTTTTTGTAGCAAGCGGTCATTGGGCTCGAGTTCCTCTAGGGCTCCGGCACCAAGTTCCTCTGGGGTTCTGGTTCCGGGTTCCTCTGGGGCTCCAGTACCAGCCGTGCCGCTCCTGTCACAGGGTGGCGGTGATGTTTTTGCTGCCGTCGTTCCCCCTACGAGGTCTTCTTTGTGTTTTACGAAGAAGAAGATAGTCGGGTGAGTGACTTCTGGTTTCGTCTCTTTGCTTCTGTTTCCCCTTCTTTTTGTTCTTATTGCCGAGTTTCTTTGTCAACTTTTAGGCCTTCGTCTTCTCTCGACCCTCCGTCGACTTCTTGCCATTCTTCTGGTGTGCCTCCGAGTACCGAGCCTCAGGACTTGGAGCGCACGGTCGGCGAAGTAGTTGTGGGGGAGACAAGGTTTCCTGGTGATGATGCTGCTGCTGGCTTAGTTGCCTCGGAGGTGACCATGGCCATGGTGGTGGATTCATCTAGGGAGGTAGCTGGGACTTCCCATAGTGTGCCCCTGCTCTCATCTTCTCCGCATCGGTCGTCTTCCCCCTCCGCTCCTTTCTCTACTGAAGATGTGGTCCATCAATTTGACGCCACTCATCGGCTGTCAGAGTTGACCGCTTCTTGGGGAGATTTTGCAGCCTTTGCAACTTCTTTTGGGGAAAAACTCCAAGTAAGTTTTC